CAAAATCCAACTGCTTTAAATATTACCGAAATATTGTCAATCGCGAGAGAAAAGCGTGTAAATCAAAATACTATACGACCCAGGTACACAGTAAAGAAAAAGATAACCCTAAAACTTGGTGGAGTGAAATCAAACGCCTAGGAGGAATGAAATCAATGAACAGCTCCCTAATAAATTTCATAAATATCGCTGGTTTTGAAGATATATCGGAACAAGAACTAGCAAACAGAATAAATACAGCTTTTCTTGAGCCCTTATCAGAATATAAACTATCTTCACCGTTAGAGCGACTTAACTTAGAGGAAAACCCAGATTTCTTAGAAGTTTCTGAAGAAAGGGTTTTATCACAGCTAAAAAAACTCAACCCCAGTAAAAGTGGTGGCCCCGACGAAGTGCCCAATTGGCTCTTGCGAGAGTATGCTGTAATCCTTGCCCTCCCAATTAGTCTACTCCTAAATGCATCCTACAAACAACAACGCCTACCTGCAATATGGAAACTTGCGAATGTTTCACCGCTGCCAAAAGTAAAAATAGTACAGGACCTGAAAAAAGAACTTAGGCCCATTTCTTTAACACCTAATATTTCGAAGGTTGCAGAGCATTTCGTTGTTAATGATTATGTGAAACCAGCTCTTTTGAAGAAAATTGACCCCAATCAGTATGGAGCAATCCCTAAATCATCGACGATTTTTGCTCTTCTTAGTATGGTGCATAACTGGACCTCCGGGCTTGACGGTACCGGTTCTACAATTAGAATCATTCTACTCGATTACCAAAAAGCTTTTGATCTAATTGATCACATAATTTTGTTCAAAAACTACTTCAGTTAGATCTACCACGAAGTGTTATAAATTGGATTATTGATTTCTTAAGTAACAGATTCCAAAGAGTCAAACTTTCACAAGGATGTTTTTCAGATTGGGGTGCAGTACCTTCGGGCGTCCCTCAAGGCACCATTTTAGGTCCATGGCTCTTTTTAATCCTCATAAATGATTTATCTATCACAGATACTGACTTATGGAAATACGTGGACGATACGACAGTATCGGAAACAGTTGACAAAAACCAACAGAGTAGAGCACAGACAATTGCTAATGAGATGTCACAATGGTCCCAAAACAATAAAATGAAGCTGAATGAAGAGAAATGTAAGGAGCTCCGTATTTCCTTCTCAAAAGCCCCTCGTGATTTTAACCCGATACTTATTAACAATAAAAGTATTAGAGTCGTAAAATCCGTTAAACTTCTGGGCTTGTCATTCGATAATAACCTGACGTGGAATCTACATATCGAAGAGGTAGTTAAAAAAGTATCCAAACGAATCTATTACCTGATCCAACTCAAACGGGCCGGTATTCCTCGGAATGATCTGGTTCTATTTTATGTTACATGTATTCGATCTGTTATCGACTATGGTATCCCTGTCATTTACTATTCGTTGCCAAAATACTTGCGTTCCGAATTGGAAAGATTACAAAAAAGAGCTATTAGAATTATCTGTCCAAACACTAATTACGAAGACGCTTTAATTAGTTGTGGATTGGAGTCACTGTCTGTTCATCATGAAAATATTTGTACTAGTTTATTTCAAACAGTAGTTGCTGATGAAAATCATAAGTTACGAAGTTTACTGCCACCTACACATACTTCTTTTTATGATTTAAGAACCGATAGGAAATTTGAAATTCCTACATGTAACACCAATCGTTTTCAAACTAGTTTTTTTGTGGCTTCGTGCCGCAAATCATTTATCTAATGCTATTGAAATGACCTAATATTTTTAATAATTTTAAATTTTTTGGTATATTAAAGTAATAAAAATCTTGTATATATAATATTTATATGGAATGTCATCATAATGGCTTGATAAACTCTTCTTTTATATTCTCGTAATTAGTTAAATTTACTTGTAAAAAATATACGCAATTCAGCCCACGGCTGCGAAGTATTTTATTAAATCTATCTATCTATCTATCTATCTATCTATCTATCTATCTATCTATCTATCTATCTATCTATCTATCTATCTATCTATCTATCTATCTATCTATCTATCTATCTGTCTATCTATCTATCTATCTATCTATCTATCTATCTATCTATCTATCTATCTATCTATCTATCTATCTATCTATCTATCTATCTATCTATCTATCTATCGACGTAGGCGGAACTGTCAATAATTTTCTATTGTGTCAGTATATTGCATACAGTAAATATCACATCATTCACTTTAATCTACCCGTCGAAGACTGCAGACTGGGAGTCGAAAGCTCGTCCAAATAAATATTTTTAACCAGTGAATGTTTGAAACCTTTTATTTTTGCTTATATCTTTTTAATATATTATGTCATTATAGATAATTCAGAACTATGATTGAGAAGTTACCGTGTATAGATATTACAAAGTAATGAACTAGAAGTTACTATCGCAAGGAAAATGCTGCCTCACCTCCAAGGGATCAAAGGCAGCATGCACAATTCGCTGAATAAGGGGCTGTTTATATGATTCCGCTTTGCCAGGACGAGATATGAGGCAAGATGATTTTGATCAGGGATGCCGGAAGTTACTGAGGGCAAGGGGTGCAATTGGTTAACAAGAGGGCATACTCTTTAATAAAAGGCACCAATGAAAATGAAAGGGCGTCATGACCCTACATTTGTGTCAACCTCCCTCCCGGTCACCAAATGTTTTCGGACCGAATACAATTATTTAGGCACAATTCCTCCGTAATTTCTCCCGTTGTCCTATGTTACCCGTGCACCTGTTACACCCATAGTCTGCACCCGCACTGCACCCACAAAGTTGAAAATGCAAAAGGCAAGGGGTGCACTCAGTTGCACCCGCTGCACCCGTGGTTCCGGCATCCCTGATTTTGATGTACTTAAATACGTCACAGTGGCAGTGCATGATTCAGCAAACAACTACACTATTTTGTAGACATGGACTATAGTTAACTGTAAACAAAAGGTTGCCTGTTCAAGCATAATATAATCTTCTTGAACCACAAGATCTTCTCTACAACATTTGAGTTCTGCTAACCAGCATTTGAACTTTCATTTAGCCTAGTGACTGATATTTCAATACATCAAAATCATTGTTCCTTCCATCATGCAAACAGCCCCTAAGATGCCTGTTCAGGAGGTAGAAAAAGGGCAATTTGAATATCAAACATCTTGCACAAAGTCGAAGGGTGGCTAAAAGTAGTCTAATTCTACTTTCTTGGCATGGGCGGTTTTATATGAATATCTTCAATGCTTATAACTTCTTGCTTTTGTATAATTATAATACTGTCAGTGGTGAAGTTAGCCATAGTAACAGGTCATGCTATGCAAGTTTTTAATGATTTGCATTATTCAAAATTATAGATGCAGGTTTATCAGCATAGCATGGCCAGTTGCCATGGCTAGCTTGCCACTGAATACTGTACAATGTTTATATGAAAATACTAAGTCAGGTTTTGTTCCAATTATTGTTTTAATGCCACCTTCAAGGTTGCCCATATTACAGAACAACCAAACAATATGCTAATGAGAGACAAGATCTATTTGTTGACATTTCTAATTGTGAGCATTATAGAAAAATATAAATACACTCTGAAATGTAGTGACACAGCCAGATGAATATATGAATGTAGGCCGGTAGGATTATTTCATATTATGCTAACAATGGACATAATCTCAGAGGCCTCAAAGATATATACTGTATATATAAACAGACAGTCATATCTTTACAAAAGTCAGTTGACATACTATTACATGTAATTGCTGGTAAGTCAATATTTAAAGTGCAGACAACAATCCACACTGGATTGCTCTAGGAATCTTATTACAGTAAGCCTGATTTAACAACATTCCGCGTTTGTTGTTAAACTATAAACATCTAGAAGTGAACACAATACTCATCGTCTTGGCACATATAAACAAACAAATAAACTGAGTGCATTTTGACTCCTTGTATAAATATAAAGGCATTATTGACGAATAGATCAGGCGGGCTATTATTAAAACTGCCGGTACATTCATGAATTATAGTACTTCAGAACTCCTTATAAGTACGTTTTGTCTCCTTGAATATGACATAAAATTATCAAATGTTCTACAAACGACCATGCGGACAATGCGAATGGGAATTATTTCGGGCTGTAAGAAGCGCCGTAAACTCATAAAAGCACATTGCTTGCCTCCAGAATGAACGCTAAACAGTTTATCGCCTTGATGGATATTAGCACAAAGAAATAAAGCCATATTTACCTGGTTTCTTCGGGAAATGTTCGTATATTTTGCAGATCCAGAATTTAATATTTTTCTCGCAATTTAATATTTTTCTCGCACTCCCCCCGTCCGTTCCCCCCCGGAATTACGACATCTTAACGGACGGACAGACACAAATCGAAATCTCGACAATACATAGATCGGCGCGAAAGACTGGGTCGAGTGAACTCTGGAGAAACCTTCATGTCAAGATTAGGAGTGCTGCCTTCGGCAGCAATAAGACTAGAAGGCCTAGGTCTAGGCTGAGTGGAGCCTACTTGCTGCTTGCTCGAGCAGGTAAGATTATAAATGGTTGATATTATATTCTCAAATTCATTAATAATTCATGAGTAATTCAGCCAATGATAATCACCTATTTGATCACAAGATGCCATTTGGATACTTGATGAAAGTCACTAGTGTTTTCATCAAATATCTTAATTACGCATGCAAAATTACTTGAATAGAATTCCTAATTATGTTATGCTTGGTTAAGAATTCTATTCAAATCAGCAAACGAAAACATTCTGTTACGTCTCGATTCATTTGAGAAGCCATATAAACAACTCGAGCTCGTGTCTCACCGGGATATCCAAACACTCGAAAACAATGTATGAAAACACTCGCGCTTCGCGCTCGTGTTCTCATACATTGTTTTCTCGTGTTTGCCAGTTTGGATATCCCGGTGAAACACTCGCCCTCGTTGTTCATATATTACATCCAAAATTAGCAAGCCATTGTGCCACTGCCACACAATCAAATCAGCAAGCCATTGTGCCACTGCTACAAACAATATCGGCAAGCCATTGTGCCACTGCCACACAATCAAATCAGCCAGCCATTGTGCCACTGTTACAAACAAAATCGGCAAGCCATTGTGCCACTGCCACACAATCAAATCAGCAAGCCATTGTGCCACTGCTACAAACAAAATCGGCAAGCCATTGTGCCACTGCCACACAATCAAATCAGCAAGCCATTGTGCCACTGCTACAAACAAAATGGGCAAGCCATTGTGCCACTGCCACAAAAATAAATCAGCAAGCCATTGTGCCACTGCTACAAACAAAATTGGAAAGCCATTGTGCCACTGCCACACAAATAAATCAGCAAGCCATTGTGCCACTGCTACATAAAATCAGCAAGTCATTTTGCTTAAAATGTTTTAATCAAGTTATAGTGTTATTCACTCAAATGTCAGGGTACATTGTTTATGTTCCACTGTTGTTGAGAATGGCAAATGATGTAGAGGAAAATCCTGGACCCACAATATATGATGTGGTTGATCCAACTAAAACAATATGTGCAGATTTTAGTCAGGGAAATACAAAAAAGTTTCGACAAAATGCTGGTAAACAATGTTTAGCAATGTCTTTGACTGCGATAATATATAATCATATCACAAATGCAAATGAATGGGATTCAACTATATTAAATTCCATACTGTGTGCTGGAAATAACCTTTATTCTTTTATAAGCAATTCTGTTAACAAAAGCTATTTGCTTTTGACTGATGTGCCTGAAATGGTTTCGGTTTTTGATGGCATTTATTGTATGCAATATGGTGACCCATTTGCTGGCGACTTATTCATGGAAAACACCGCTCTACCTTATTATTCTATAGAGAATGCTCTTAATAATCTGTTCACGGAAACTCATTCAAATTATCAACATTGTATGTTGACGATTGGTTGTAATACTGTTGCAATTTTTAAGACTTCTGAAGGAACCTTTAAAGTATTTGATTCTCATTCAAGAGATTTATATGGGATCCCACACTGCATATTAGCATCTGTTGATAGTATAGAAAGCCTGTTGATATATTTCCAGAGTACTGTACCTCCGGGTAATGAAACACCCTTCGAAGTTAAAGGGGTAACTGTTCAGTTAAATTCTGATATAACACAAATAAGTGGACTTGCTTCAAGCGAAAGTGCAAAAGAGTGTGTGAAACAAAATCAGAAAGAAAGCAGACTGGAAAATGCTAGAAAGTATAAAAAAGCAAAGCAAGCAGCAGAAACTGAAACTGAGAAACAAACTAGACTTGGAAATGCTAGGGAGTATCGAAAAGCAAAACGAGCTTCAGAAACTGAACATGAGAAACAAACTAGACTTGAAAATGCTAGGGAGCATAGAAAAGCAAAGCGAGCTTCAGAAACTGAAAATGAGAAACAAACTAGACATGAAAGTGCTAGAAATTACGAAAAAAGAAAACGAGGACAGGACACTGAGACTGAAAAGCAAACTTGTCTTGCCAGTGCTAGTCAGAACAAGAGAAAACGTTTGTGTGCTTCTACTCAAATTCCAAATCAGCAGGATTATTTAAATAAATTTGACATTGAAAAAGATGGTGGTATTCATGAACAGAGTTGGGCCAAATTTAACATTAATAAATTTTATAAATCTATTCAATTCTTTATTAGTCAATGCACTATATGTCAAGAAGCATGGCCACTGAACTCTAAACCAAGGTCACCTGATTGTTATATATGCTCTCGATGTGCTCGAGACACAAAATCTCCCAGAAAGTTTTCACTTGAAAATTCAATGATTCCTTCTCCAGTCCCAACCGAGTTACAAAATTTAACACAAGTAGAGGAGATGTTGATTGCTCGTGCTCTTCCTATCATGAGAGTTTACATTAAGCCTGGTGGACAACGAGGTTACTTGGGTCATTGTGTTAATTTGCCACAAAATGTCAAGGAACTTGCAACATCATTGCCAAGATATCCCAAAGATTTGTCAGTGATTATTGTCAAGGTCAAAGGTAAAGATAACTCATTTAGAGATGTTTCTGTGAGAAGAGAAAAAGTACATAATGCATTATTATGGCTTGTGCAAAATAATCCTCATTATGCTGAATTAGAAATTAATGAAGATGCATTAAACTCTTTGCCTGAAAATGGCATTCCAGCAGATCTCATGACTGTTGAAACTGAAAATGAAATAATCTCAAGTGATGATGTTATGTCAGATTTAGGTCCACCCACTGAAAATCCTTCTGAAGATATTGTTTATAACAACTCGACAGACATGAATAGTTTCTTGCCTGTTGGTGAACAGCAGGAACAAGAAATAGAAGCAGTTAGAAATCAGCTTTCTGCAAATGAACCAATGCCATGGCCTGCTATTGAAAGTGAGCCATTAAATGAATATCAGATATCACATCTGGCCACTATGGCTTTTCCAACGTTATTTCCTGATGGCAAAGGTGATCCCACTAATCAAAGTATCTTGAGAAATGTTCCTCTTCAAGAACGAATAAAGCATCTATTGAAATTTGCTGAATCTATTGATGGTAAATGGGTATACCGTTTTGCTAACCACCCTAGATTTTCATACTGGGCATTCAATATGATTCACAGAAAACGTATACTACAACAAAGTGGAATATTCATTAATTAAACAAAATCCAGGTGAAGCACACCTCACTATTGATGAGCTACGTGAAATGGCTCAGAGTGACAACTCTGCTTTATTTTTGTCCAAAGTGTCCAGATACATTGGCAATATTGCAGGTACTAATGCTTATTGGAATAAAGTGAGAGAGGAACTCAAAGCTATAATAACTAATGTTGGAGCACCAACATTGTTCTTTACTTTCTCATCAGCAGATATGCACTGGCCAGAATTACATGCTCTTTTTGGAGCAAACACTGGTAACGCCACTAGTGAGGTAAGGCGACAAAATGTTATTAACAATCCACATATAGTTGATTGGTTCTTTACACAGAGACTAGACAAGTTTGTTAAACACTGGCTTTGTGATACACTTGGTGCAAAATGGCACTGGTTTAGATATGAATATCAAGGTAGAGGTAGTATCCATTGTCATGGTACTGCTAAACTAAATAATGACCCAGGTTTGTGTCAACTTACTCAGACTGCTCTAAAAGGATTCTTGGCTCAAAAAGTTAAGGAAAAGAATGATTGTCCTGATACAACAGAACTAGACCAGGATATTGAAGCTGGCAAGAAAGCAGCTGAGACTGCCTGTCAGTATGTTGATTGGTTATTGTCGACTGTCAATCCCAATCCTCCAGATGAGGATATGTGGATACGACCTGAGATCCACCCATGCCAGAAACATCATAATGACATTCCTGAGTTTGATGTACAATCTGATTATGTAGACCTTTTGAATATGGTTCAACGACATACTCGTTGTAGCACAAGTTATTGCCTTAGAAAAAAATCTGGTGAATCAGAATTGAAATGTAGATTTCATTTTCCATTTGACCACTGCTGTCGGACAAAATTAGAATTTGAAGAAATTGACACTAAAGGTGACAACATACAATATAGAGCAAAAATTATTACTAAAAGAAATGATTCAAGGTTGAACAATCATCAACAACTTCAGCTGCAGGCCTGGAGAGCTAATTGTGATATACAAGTAGTTATTGACCACTATGCTTGTGTAGAATATCTGACTAAATATGCTGCTAAAGGTGAGCCAAGGTCGCCAATCCTCAAACAAGCATTCAATTCTATTGTCCAAAATGTTGACAATAATACTGACCCTCATAGAGCCATCAAGAAGATAGTAATGAAATCTCTTGGTGAAAGAGATTATGCAGCTCAAGAGACAATGCATCATTTGCTGTCTTTAAAACTCCATAGTTCATCATTTAAAGTTATTCCAGTGAGCCTAAATGGTTCACGTAGAGTACGTAACAATATATCTATTGAAGATGGTGATTCTTGTACTGATAATTCACTTCTTGACGTTTATGCTAACCGTCAAGAATATGACAGTTCACAAACAATTAGGGACATGAACTTTGTACAATTTGCAACAACGTACACAGTTGTTAACAATGAGCTCTCAAAATTACCAGAGAATGTTGTTCCAAGGGTATTTCCAACCTACTCTCCTAACCCGAAAGGTCCTAATTTTGGGCTGTATTGCAAGTATCAACTTTTGAGGTATAAACCCTGGAGCACAACCCAAAACAATGCATGGGGAGACTTAGAACCAACTGATGAAATTCTAACCAACCATTGGCAAGAGTTCTTGCAAACACCTTATGCACAAACTCATGTACCAGACTGGTTCGACAAACTTCAAACTGTTATTCACAGTCAACAAGAACCAGAAGATGAACCTTGTGAAGGACAAGGTAATACCCGAGAGGAATGGATGATCCTATCTGATCTTCATACTCCATTTGAGAATTCTGAACAAACACCAGAGTCAACATATGACTGGCATCAAGATAGAGCACAGTATTCTGAACAACAAATTCATGAAATTCCAGCATGGATAAAAAATAAGAAAGATAATCATATCAATAATGAACACTATGAAGCTGTTGATATCAACAGTTTCAGTGAAATGCAAGGACTTGCTTATAATATTGTCAATACACATTTAAGTAATACTTCATGCGACAAAGAACCGTTATGCCTCATTGTTATTGGTGTAGCTGGTACTGGCAAGAGTTACCTTATCAATGCACTTCGCAATCTTTTACAGAATAAATGTGCAGTCACTGCCACAACTGGTAAAGCTGCTTTTAATGTACAGGGTATTACTATTCACTCCTTGTTGAAGCTACCTGTTGGATCACGAGGTAAAAAGGATTTGACAGGTCAGACTCTGTGCAGACTGCAGGAAAGTTCAAATGGTGTTGAATATATTATCATTGATGAATATTCTATGCTTGGTCAAGTTACTTTTGGCTGGGTAGATAAACGTTGTAAGCAAGCAACGGGATGTAACGACAAGGTGCTTGGTGGAAAATCCTTTATTTTATTTGGCGACCCAGGTCAGTTGCCACCTGTAGCGGATAAACCCCTTTATCACGCCAAACCATCAAATGCTGTTGGTGAACAAGGATATCAATCTTACAGTATGTTTGACAAAGTGATCAAACTCACTGTCAATCAGCGAGTGCAAGGCATGAGTTCTGAACAAGTCACATTCAGAGATTTATTGTTACGACTCCGCAAAGGTGAATCGACAGTTGATGACTGGAAATTACTTTTGACTCGTCAACCTTCTGCCATTTCAAATTTGAGTGAATTTGAAGATGCTACCAGACTGTTCTACAGCAATGAACAAGTTGCAAATTACAACCATGACCAACTGAGTAAACTTGAACATCCAGTTGCTCACATCAATGCTTGCCATTCATCAGCAATTGCTAAGAAAATTCCTTCAGAAGATATGTCTGGATTAGAACCTGTACTGTTTTTAGCAAAAGGTGCTAGAGTGATGTTAACAATGAATTTATGGTCAAGTGTTGGTCTTTGCAATGGAGCAACTGGAACAATAGTTGACTTTATCTTTGAAAGCAACCATCGGCCACCAGACTTGCCCGTTGCTGTTATAGTTCAGTTTGAAAACTACAGAGGGCCTTCACTTGATCACACTCGGCTATCTTGTGTCCCTATATGTCCAATCACTGTCTCATTCCAGTCAGAAAATGGTTTCCACGAGAGACAGCAATTACCTCTCAGACTTGCTTGGGCTCTTACTATTCACAAGAGTCAGGGACTCACCCTACCAAAAGCTTGGATAGACATTGGTAAGTCAGAGAGAACTGCTGGAGTCTCTTACGTTGCAATCAGTAGAGTAAAAACACTATCATCCTGTGTCATTGAACCAATGACGTACGAAAGATTGACAAGCTTAAAATCTTCAGCGAATTTGCAGTTCAGGCTTGAAGAGGAAAACAGGCTAGATCGTTTAGCACAAAGTACACACAGTGCATTTAGCTCGTCAAACTATTGTGGTTGAATAATGTCAAGAATTTCAGTGGTGGAACTTAGTTAAGTACTGTATGCATGTATGTATATGTGTATGTATGTATGTATGTATGTATGTATGTATGTATGTATGTATGTATGTATGAACTGTACATGAAATATACTACACATCTCTTAATATATAAATTAAAAACAATGATATTACAATTCAATTTGTTTTATCTCCGTAGTGTATGAAATTTGATGATTGGCAAGGTGAAGATTGGCAAGGTGAAGATTGGTAAGTATATTTTTTCTGCAGTACGAATTATTAGCCTCTTTCAAAGTCCAACTACACTCGTAGGCATAGATTTAGGTCAATCTTTTGGTTAACTGTACATGATGCTAACAAATCATTATTTTCTTTTTATAGATTTTTAATACTCTAAAGGGAGATCGTATGTTTAGCACAAAGTCTGGTTGTTGTAACAAACTCTTCGTTGAAAATGGATTATTACTTTAAAGAAATGGATTATTATATTTGTATATTTGCTATTAACTCAAAGAATATTTGATGCACTAACTCTGCCACTAAAATCTTTGGGAGTACAATTATGCTATCATTGCCTACCACAGTGGTTTATACAATGGATTCATTCACAAAGTTATGCACGGACAGTAAATACACTTTAGTATGCAACTGTACTGGAATTTTGTTGAAGAACCTGCTTATTTTAAATTACATGGAATCATCATCTGTGTCTCGTGTGTGCCATGGATAACTGTTGCAGTATAAATCCGAAATCAAGGACATGTACATGTACTATCGCAACCTTCAAAATATTCCATTCTGGGCAACGACGTCAACATCCATATGTTACAATATGAACAACATATTTATTCAATTAGTGCCATTTTGCCCTGGCTTTCTGTTTACATTTCTACATCATCAGATAATTGAACTATCAGTGATTTGCAATCACAATCACAGTGATTTTCATTTGTTTGATACAAACATTGTGCAGAACAACATAATCGTAGTCATATATTTTAAAAAGAACAAAACAATAGATACTCCGAAAATAGTTAACATTTTAATCAACGTTTCGACTAGGGTTCAGTAATCAGGAATAGTCCTAATTAATGTCTATAAATTGTATAATGTGGTCCGAGACCTTGCCAATTTATATATTTACATATATTAAACATATTAAGTGGTAAATGTTTATAATGTATTAATGATAAGTGTAATTAAAATAATTATAATTTTACATAAATATTTGTGTTTGTTGTCAATGATGCAATGCATGCAAGCTAGCAGTTCACTTCCGATAATAATTGGTACAGTAACTTTAATAATCTGCTGAACTTCACAGTTGATTTGTTATACATGTAATATTACTGGCGGGTACCCCAGTAAACATGAAGCTCTAGGAAGATGTTCTGTGACTGGTTGATTATGACAATGACAAAAGACGTAATTGGCTTACATAAACAAAAGGAATATTGTTCTTGCTTCGTTCTTTAAAAAATCCATTCTATAGCTTATTCTTTTGTCATTGTCATAATCAATCAATCACAGAACATCTTCCTAGAGCTTCATGCCGACCCCGGGTGTCCAGATCATGGATTGTGACTTTTTTACCTGTTTAATATGGTACGGAAAATTTTTTGAACCCCTTTTTTAATAAATATGGTTCGAAAATTTTTTTCTTCCTCACATATACACTGAATCATGGACCATTACAAATTGGTCAACCAATCAACCATGGGCCAAAAGATAAAGTTCAGAGTGAAGCTAAAACGATTAGACAACTTAACCTCCTCGTCTATGGTGAACAACTTAACCTCCGTTGTCTATGGCGAACAGTAAACTCCGCCACGCCTTCGTTGACTATTCGCTCCATAGACAATGCGGCCTCGTCTAATTCTTAATTTGCCAATACTTTGTTGTTGTATAAATGTGTGGCATTATTGAATAAAAATCCATTTGTAGTTTTGTTCCCATGATATGTATTACTTGTGCAAAGTATAGTGCTGCTATCACAAGGTTCTCTAAAGACTCGCTCTTACTGGGGTTTAATCTCATGGATCAACCTGATCAACTCAAATTTTTCCAGTATTATATATAGCTCAATGATAAGATCACGTGCCTTCGCAGATATAGCATGGTATTATGGGTAATTTACTGCGCTGTCTCTTTCTCGCTTTCCTCCACAAGGTCAAACTTGGAAAAAGCTGGTGAGTTTAGATTTTAAATTTTTTAATAAACAGCGATTGTATTTTTAGGTTTTTTAATAAATCCTATCACCTAATATCTTTTTTAACTTGAACAGACTGTTGACAACTGGACCAAAGAGTAAATTCAAGATTTTAACTAAAGGTATGTGTGTCATTCTGCAGCCCTTGATTCTTGAAGTCCTTCCCATTAAAAATTTTACACGCTTGATTACCGATGTCACATTTCCATCCAAAACCTTGCAAACATTACTTGCTATGCAAATTATTCAAATATGTCTTTAATTAAATATAGTTGAAGCTCGGTGACGATGCGTACCTTGCGCATGTTATGATTGCTATATCGCCATTTGCAGCCCTGTAGATTTTTTATAATCCTACCCAAACTTTAAGAATTTCAGAAAATGTTAAAAAATATAAAGTATTTTATTAATAAGAATACGATAAAATACACAGTGATTCCAAGGATATACGACGGATTACAAATTCACTGTGATCACATGGCCATCGGCATTCAACAACGCTGCTGCATCACGTTACTTTAATAAACCATGTGGTCAGCCTTAAATATCTTAAATGTAAAATGTGATTGTTGGACTCACCACTAACAAATCCCAAACTTTACACTCGGGTTTTTAAAAAAAGCCCGAAACATTAAAAATCCACTTTTGTTATAATTGAATGCCTGAGTGCTACCTTGAACTCATGGGAGCATAAACACAATTGAATGGAATTTTATGCTCAGGAAGTTATTGTACATTTTTTTGTTTGACAACATAAAATTATAGCTGATTGATTGTACACACCTGGGGCTTCAACAATGCTAAGATATTCAAATCAGAACCTTGTGGTGAATTTCTAAGGTTTTGCTTTTTTGAGACAAACTAGTGTGTAATCAGTAATTTCCATTTTAGAAGCTGAAAAAGTAATTCAATTTACGTATGACAATTTTAATAAAGTGACAGCTATACAGCTTGTATGAACTATTTTAAAAGCTGAAACAGTAATTCAATTTACATATATGACATTGGTGAAGTCACAACTATACACAGCTTGCATGAACGGATATAAATTTCCATTTGGTTAACTGAGTTGAGTTATAACAATAACATTTAATATTGGTTATGTTATGTTGGGGTACATATATTTAACAATTTGTGGTCCATTTTGATACTGTATAAATGGCTGGAACATTGCACTGCCATGCAATATTTTATAATTTAATAACAATTATGTTGTGTTATGTTGGGGTATATATTTAATAAAAAAACTGTGGTGCATTCTATTATTGTTTCAAACTTTATTTTATCTTACCTGTATTCCTGTATAAATAAAGCTAAAGCATGTTACGGTCCCTTATTTAGCATTCTTGGTGCTCACATATTCGCCGAATGATAAGAAATTAGAAATCAGAGATAACAAATAGTATGATTAGTATCCGCCAGTGCTTCCACAATCCTTTCACAATCTCAAAAAAAATTTTTTCCAACAAAATTTCCCTGCCACCCAAACACTGGAAAAATTCAGAGAAAATGTATCATAGACCCTACGAGAAATCAAGTATGGTCTATGGCATAGGCTATAGGTCATTGTCCGATTTCACCACGTCACGTAATCCATGATTATTACTAGTAATAAAAGTATTTCTATCGATGTGTTTAGGAAGATAACCATAATGTGCACTTGCGGTACAAATGTGAAATCATGGATATGTGCATATACCAGGCCTTCAAAATACTGCATTCAGGGCAAAGACATCGATATTATATAAAGTATAGTGCTTTATAGAGATTTCGAGCACTGATAGAAGTGATAATCTCACATGTGAAAATGATCGATTTTCAATTATCACTTTTCTGTAAAAAGTATCGCTTTTCAAAGACTGTCCTTTATATAATAAACAGTAAAATACATGGATCCGCTCACTCATGAGATATCATGTTCAACACTCGAAATAAATCTGGTATTTCCGCGCACCTATGAGATTATATATTTATGATAATTTCACATGTGAAAATTATCACTTTTCAATTATTTTTATTTTATTTTATTTTAAAAATTCAATATAGATGCATATACTACATGAATAACAATAGCATAATATAAATACACTAACAAGGCTTGAACACATGTAATATGAGATATCATGTTCAACACTCGAAATAAATCTGGTATTTGCGCAAAAACATAATTGATTCATTCCATCAGATAATTGAATTTCCAGTGCATGACCCAGTGAGTCAGTCGCAGTAATTTTAATTTGTTTATAAATACTAAACATGTTACTGTAAGTGGTAATTGGTTTTATAAATGATAACTGTAATTTTAATTTTACACTGAAATTCATTTGGGTTTGTTTTCTTTTCATATTTAGGGAAAGACCCCCCCCCCCTCAAACTATATGTATCCAAGGCAGCACTTCACTTGCGATAGTAACTTCTAGTTTTAATAATATATTATGGTAGATAAATATGGTCAAGGAGAAACTACTGTCCACAAGTGTAGAAGTTGTGATTATGAACAGGAAATAAGATTTAGTGGTGTGCATGTTTCGGAAGGTGGCTTCTGTCATGGGTTTTTGCAGTGAAGATGAATTCCATTGCCCTGCCAAGCAAATGTTCTGGTAAGAGATGTCCAGATATCTAAGGCAACTATAAAGTAACAATTTATTAAAATATTTAAAAAACTTATTTCGCATACTGGTAACGTTCTGGTGAATTTCATGTAAGATAAGGCAGAAACCCTTATTTTTCAGAGCTCCAGATTCAGCCAAAACTGATAAAAAAACATATTTTTTAAGTAAACTCAATGTTT